AATTCTTGAAGAACAACCACAATCACAACCTTTTTCTAAAAAATCAATTGCTTTTTGATATTCATTAGAACCATTATATTTATTATTACTTTTCATATACACCTACCCCTATATATATAATTTTATGTTTGTAGTTTTTTATTTATTTTAAAATTGAAATTGGTCTTGTGGTGTGGGGAGAAAAGAATTAAATTTGAGTGGATCTGCAAATAAATATCAGAAATATTTGTTCAATAGTTGTAATTATATTAATATTATTAATGATTATGAAAAGCGAAATAGCAATCATTCATTTACTATCAATAAGAATCTTATAATTACCCAGCAAGATCTGATTTCAATTATAACATTTATTAAGACATCAATGCAAATTAAAAAAATTTTACCTCTGGTTAGTTATTAACACATCTAAGTGCCAAATTATGCCAAATAACATCATTCGCATTAAAAAATAAATTGTTTTTCCAAAAAAAAAAAAATAAAAAAAAAATTAAATTAAATTATGATGCAATTGTTGATCATAATTTCCACTATAAATTTATCTACCTTTTTGTTTTATTTTTTTACATCCAAAAGCTGAAAAAACAATTAAAAGATACTTAGATATTACAGTTTTTTGTTTCTTGTTATTATTTTTAAGATGCCTCACAAAGAAATAAAAAAAAAAAATAACAATAATAATAAGGAAGAAGCACTTGCTAGATAAGTGTTTATCATATGAATGGTGGTTATTGCCACTCATCATCACTCTAGTTATTATTAAAATTCGATTTTCACTCACAAAATATTTACATAATTGGTACTTGGTTATAAATGTGCCTTCTTTTATATAAATATATATTTAAATATTAGGAATAATAACAAAGTAAGTAATAATCAAATTGTATTTTCTTTGGATGGGTAGGATTGATAGTTTTGTTGATATTAATCCAACTTTCTAACATACAGGAAAATTATTTGGAACCTGAAGTAGTGGGGTTGAAGAAAATATTGAAAAAAAAAATGGTAAAGATCTCACAACACAAATGTTAGATTATCATTGGAGGGTACAATATTTGTGCCATTATTATTTACTGTGATATCAACTAACTTGTACCTTTTTTACCATCAAAGAAGTTAGAAAAGAATTAGGAGAGGCGAAGAGAGATTGGAAAAGGCAGAGAGAAAGTTGGAAAAGTTTGAGGAGGGGGAAAAACAGGAAAGACTAGATGAGTTGTAGGAGAATTTGGACAATGAGGGATGGAAGAATGACAAACAGAAGAAAATAAGATAGATGAGTTAAAGAAAAAGAGAGAGAAGTTAGAGGAAACAAAGGAAAGATGGGAGGAGTAAAGACTAGTGCTGTAAATTATGATGATGGTAGTAATTGTATTTACAGCATATAAAAAGTGGTTGCAATTACCTTTGTGACCACTTTTGCAACCATACTTTTTCCTTTTTGGATTACGGCACTAGTCTTTAGGGAGGAGCAAGTTATATTTTTACAAAAGAAATTAATTGAATTTGAAGAAAAAGGTAATGAACAAATTATGTAAAAATATACAAAAAAATATTTTTCTTTGGTTATTTATTATTGCATATTTAATTAAATATGCAATCTCATTTAACCCATCCATTAAATTAATTCATTTTTTTTAAAAAAAAATACTATATCATTACCTTATATTAATTAAATTTACTAACTTGTATATGCTCTTTCTTTTATCATGTCTCCTTCTATTCTAACAGCAAATTATTGGCATTAAACTCAGGTATGCATTAGTCCAAATATAAAAGCAACCACTGGCTATATCATGTTTTTTTCACAAGTGTCAGGGTTATTCTTTTCTTTGACCTTTTTATTAATTATTTCAAATAGATGAGTTAACAATGCTTGAGGAAAGAAGAGATAAGATAGAATTAGAACTTCTAAACTTAGAAAATTCTAATAAACTTGAAGGTAATGCACTGGCTGTTTCTAATTTTAAAAAAAGAGAACTTGAAAGATTGCAGGAAGATCTTGAAGGTATGGTATTTTTCATGTTATTTCTTATTGAATCCAGATATTACACTATCACTAATCTAAATCACCTTGCTCAGCTTATTCCAAGAAACAAAGGACAAGCATGCTAGATATCACTAATGGTTTTGATGTTACATATGAAATGACAGATGCAAATAAACTATTCAAAAAACTTTTAGAAAATGGGAATGTAAGTGAGATTACTGGAAGTGAATTTTGGCAACAATACGCTGGCAGTGTTGGCAAATCTGTCCAAATACCCTTGTCCGATTGTCCAATTTGTGTCCAATTTACTGTATTAGGTAATTTGGACTAATAGTTACTGCGGCATTTGGACAATTGGACAGGACAAATCCAAATAAAAATTAATTGGACACCTAAAAATGCCAATCCTGTATGCTGGTGTTGTTTTTTATTATATGAGGAGATTCGAGTTTTTGAGATCAAAGAATCAACTAGTGCTAAAAATTTGAGAGAGCAAATAAAGGAATGACAGGAAGATGATTATCAGCCAGCCATCAAGTCTATATTTCAAGCAGCTGTTGGTAACCAGCAAGGCATTGAATTTGAACTTGAAGATCATTCTCTACCAGCTCCATGAGAGGATCTTCAATGTTTCATTAATGGAATAAGAAATCAAGGTTCAATGGCATCAAGAAATTTTTCTGTGAATTATAGTATTAATAAAACTTTTCAGTAAGAAAAAATACAAATGAGTCACAAAAAGGATATGAATGAGAGCTTATTGTTCTTTACCAGTAATAATACTACATAGAGGCTGACTCATATCAAAATTCATGTTACAGAAGTTGAGATCTCTGCCATTTCTGAGATCGTCAAAATTGTCTTATTTTTCATCCTACAAAGAGATCAGTAATTGAAAGGTTTAAATTTCCCCACAAATGACAAAGCCAAAGAGTCTATGACTCATATATTCTGTGCTTGTGATTCTAATAGACCTACTTATGAAGAAAGGTTCCGAGAATGGTCAGGGTAACCATAATCGCTAATCATGTAATTTTTTCACAAAGAAGGTTAATTATATTGGTTACTCAAATTTTTCTTTTATTTATACAAAAAAAAAATAATGAATAATGAATAATTGTAAAATCTTAATTTTAAGCAATCTATACAGTACAAAAATAAACTATATGTATATCTAACATTCGCATTTATGCATTACATTCATATTAATCAAAAAACTTTATTTGACAACACGAAAGTCATAATAGTCGCAGGACATTGCAGATCAAGTGTCATTCAATATAAACGTTACACGAATAAAATTATTATCGTCCACTTCAAAA